ACAGCGGAGCTCACTGTAGTAGGCTCTGGTGGTGGTGGCCCGGGAACACGCTTGAATTTAACCGTGTGGACCGCAGAAAACACGTTCCTTCCACTTGGGTCTTCAGCATGTTCCCGACTGCGATGGATAGCTCGATAGATTGTCGTCTCGTTGGTAATGGGTTCCCCGCCGTCCATACTGAATTCGATATGCCAGTCCTGGGGAACCGAGGCCATCGCCGCTGCATAGGAAGAAAACGGTCGTCCGGCTGTCGACGACGAGTTGCCACCTCCCGTGGAGGCATGCCCTGAGCTTGGCGTTGAAGAAGAACCCTTCGACTGCGACTGCGACTGTGACTGGGAGGGGGTCGCAACGCGGGTCCCGTCGTCCTTGCGAGCGGTCACTTTGCCAGTCGATGCAACTTCCATGTTGACTGCGCTGGGTTCTGGAGCGTTGTCATCGGAGAGATCCTCCTCGAGATCGTCCACAATGGCATTAAGCTCCTCCTCGTCTTCTTCCTCCTCACCATTCTCTTCACCCTCGTCTTCCTCTTCCTCCTCACTGAGCTGCTTCTCGTCTGCACATTCCCAGGGCCGATCGTCCTGTTGGTCATCTTCATCCATGTTGGAAGGCTGATGACGGCTCGACCGCCGGGTTCCTACCCTTCGTTCCCGGGTTCCAGCTGTAGTAGACCGCTGAGCAGGCTGTGACGTTCGCAAGTTGCTAGAAGTCCGGTCATTTTGGGTAGTCGCCCCGGTGCGAGACGAAGGGAGAGGTGGGAGGGAAGAGTCGTTGCCGGAGGCGCCGTGGCTTCCACCAGGATGGTCTCGCGGCCGACCAGAACCGGAAAGATGGGAGAGAAGAGCGTCTCGGTTTCGCGATGTTCTTGGCCGATCGGACAGGCTGATTCTGGGACGCAAGAAGTCATCCAGCGACTTGAAAGTGGCGATCGCATGGATGGAGACCATGATATTCTTGTACGGACGAGGGATATCGGAGTCATCATCGGCAACCAGCTTGAGCCGCACCTGCTTTCCGAGCATGTGGGCGGCGTTGCTGCGTGTATTTTCCAGAGAGTTATTGCCGACAGTAATCACCTCGAAATGTTCCGTCCTGCTGAGCAGATCGTGTAATTTGTGAATCAGGACACTAAACGGCGTAGAGGACGAGGTTTGACTTTGGGCCTTGGCTGAAACGGTTGAACCCATAAACGCTTGCAGGAAGGCAGTGCGGGCATCGCGAGCATACGTAGCTAAAAAAAAACATCGGATGTTAGTTATCACATTACTTGACACAAAGGAAAAATTGCCGGAGGGAGGGAGGGGGACTAGTTATCGCACCTTCGGGATTGCCAAAGACATCCACAAGGACGTTGATGATTCGCGAGTTCAGCAATTCCGAGCTAGTGATGCTTTCCAGCGCATCGCCATCGAAATAAGAAGCTAGCTTCTCGAATAATGGCAGTCCGTCGCGATTGCCATCACCAAGGTAGCAATATTCAATATCGGCCGCGAGGCTCTGCAGCTCTTTGAGGATTCCAGAGGCTTTGTCCCGCATGCTCTTACTGCCTTGGCTTCGTTCATAGAGTTGGAGGAAGGCCCGGGCGTGACGGATGACGCTGTCGTTCGCAGCAACGTCCATGCTCTGAGACAATGTACGGGGCGCCGAGAAGGATGAGGAGCTTTCAGAGTCGGACAGGCCATCATTCTCCTGGTCCCGTTCTTCCTCTTCCTCTTCATCCTCCTCTCCATCGCGATCATCGTCCTCCTCATGGTCCTCGTCTTCCTCGTCCTCCACACTACTGTCCCTTTTGGCAGCTGGGTCTTCGCTCGTGGCCCGGGAGTCGACGTTCCCGGCATCCTGATCGGGCATGCTCACGTCGTCACCAGTCGTTGCCGATGGAGAGTGGGCCCGCTTTTCTGTTGACAGGGGCTTGTCAGCTAAAGCGATTATCTCCGAAATCACGCCCTCCCGGTGAAATTGATATTGATAAATGTCTTGCAGCCTCTCAAACAAGATCTCGGCACACTGGAGGGCCAAGGAGACGAGCACCGGGTGGTCCTTCTGGGACAGGATAGCGGCCAGGAAAGAGGCGTACGGAACGTTGCGGAGAGCATCTTCAATCACCGCGGCATCGAGGTTCTGAAGCATCTTGAGCTGAGCCGTCAGAACCTTCTGTCGAACCCCCTGATTGACCGTACTAGAGTAGGCATCCGTCAGCGTGGGTAAGAGGACCATAGCAAAGCGTTTGAGCTCTGGCTTGCAGTCCGCCAGGAGGTTTCGTCGCTTCTCCGCCGTCTCCTTGGCTCTCGCAGATCGGTGGATAGCACTGAAATGACTATCCATAAGATCGTTTCCGAGACCGTCAAGGCCGGGGGAGGGTCAGCGCGACCGGGAGTGCCGGGAAGGAGCTCGCAGATCACGTTGAGGGTTTCAAAAACCTGTTCCCTCGGACGCTGAATCAACGCTTGCACGATGACCATATTGTCGTTCTTGACCGCAGCGTTGTCGCCATCGCGTGGAGCGGAAACCCCGGTCAGAATCTGATAGAGGGTATCCACCACATCCATCTTGAGCAGTTCGACTGACAGACGGGGGCTGGCCTGCGCGACGATCCAGAGGACGCGGAGGAATTGGGTGTGAATATGGGGCCCAATCAGATTCGTGGTCCCAGGCAGCAGCAGACGAAGGATGGCCTTCAGCATGGGGGGCTCGATGAGCTCCTCCAGCTTGTCGGGCTTGTGCTTGAAGCTTTCAACAATGCGGGACACACACAGGCATCCCTGTTCGACCACCTTCTGGTCGCTGCTGGAGAGAACATTTAGTAAAGTCGGCATGACATCCCGGACCACGGGGAACGAGTCGCTCGGGAGGCTCCGACAACAATTGGCCGCGGTTGTGACGGCAGTGCGCTGGGTACTGGTGGGAAAGAAGTCTAAATAGGTCAGGCACGCCGTGAGACCGCCTTCTCGGACGATGGACGCGGGGAAATCCACGGAGATCTTGGCCAGAGTCTATCACGAGAATCAGTATCTTGCTGTCCCGGGAGAAGAGTGTCGTAATCAGGAAATGTAGATAGAATGCAAGGAGTGACTTACGCTCAAGGCTTGTTCGGCCAAGTCGATGAACTGAATGTCGAGGAGCTTCTGGCAGAGAACTGGGACCGCACCACCGTAGACGACGTTGGCCACGGACCCTCGGAGGGCTTCCATCATGTTGGCCAAGCACCGGCAAGCCAGGAGCATGATCTCCGGGTTCTCCTCTCCCGTCTCGCTGGGCTGCATGAGCGTCACCAGTTCCTTCACAAACGGATCGGGGGAGAATTGGCCGGAGAGATTATCTTCGTTCGACACGAGCAGCAGGTCGGACAGCTCTTGCAAGGCGATCAACTGCATAGAAGGATCCTCTCTCATCCGCAGATTGCTCAGAATGTCTCGTAAACGGGACGAAACGCCTGACATCATACCGCTGAGGGCTCGGAGCGTGCTCTGCAGGCCCAAAGGACTCCGCGAGCCAAAGAGGCCACTGCGGAACGGGTCCCCATCATCCTCATCCATGAGAGCTGATGGATTGGTGCCATCATTGCTCTCACTGGGTGGAGAGGACCCGCCGTCTTCCTCTTCTTCTCTGGGCGGTTCCCGTTCACTGTGATCGTCATCGGCGTCTTTCATCATGATGTCTGGACTCTGCTTAGGCGAACGCTTCTTCTGACGTCGTGGAGGAGGAGATTGCGTCGTCGGCAGATCTGCTCGTGAGGAGTCAGCAGCCATTCTGCTTGGTCGACGAGACAACGTAGAGGAAGAATCCTGACCTTGAGTCGTCTTGCCGTTCCTAGCCGACTTTCGCCTTGCCGTCGACGAAGATGCTGGTGCTCTGGAGGTGTCATCGGAGTGGCGTGAGGACGGACTGGAACATCATTACGGTCAGCCGTTCAATCATCCTTATCTGCCCAAAAGGATCGACATACCCAGCTTGTGACATTGCGGGACGGTTTCGAGAGCCCCGCCGCGGACGAGCAGCGGAAGCAGGAGCAGAAGTAGGGGCAGCAGCCGGGGCAGCAGTCCGCGGTCTCTTTGGTCTTCTGGGAGGGGAAGACTGAGGAGGCTGTTCTGGCTCGTCGTGGGGCCTGTCACGTCGTACAGCAGCTTTGCGTTTCCGAGACGAGGGAGGACCAGCAGCGGAAGTGGCTGAGAGGGCCCCCGCGTTGGCAGACGACGACGTGGTCTCAGCTGCGTGTCTCGCAGCGGAGCGAGTACTTCTGGAAGTCATGAGTAGATGTCCTTGGAACGGACCGGTGGCGGAGTGAGATGGAGAGATGCAGACGAGCTCATCAAATGGGGTCTTGCAGAGGGGGATGGAGAGGGCAGCAGAAGAGCAGAAAGGCGGGTAACTGCGGTGCTCTGGATGGAATGGAGCGACAGAGAGAAAGAAGAGCATAAGGGAGAAAAAGAAGGAGACAGGAGCAGCAGACGAAAGCAGCAGGAGCTGTCCAGGGAATATCTACGGACCGGACGGTCACTGAGGCAGGCAGTTGCCCACTGTGGAAGCACAGTGGCGGGCCCGTAGCGTCTTGTGGATCTTCCTGGACAATGCTGCTGGCAAACAGACAAATGCTGGGGAGTGTGTGACACTAGTGCTGGCGAGATGGAGAGTGACGAGAACGAGAGGGCGTACCTCAGTGAAGGACTGGCGGCGGTGATGGACTGGGACGGTCCCGCAGACGAGGACGGAGAGGAGAGAGCCGACAGCGAGGAAGGAGGGAAAGCCTCGAGCGAGTCCTGGTGGTCGACAGCGGCCGTTCGTCTGGCCATAAGTGTCTGGAGCTGGGTGCAGTCGCTCGTCGTCGTCACCGTCAACCCGAACCCGCCATCCGCAGCTCTTCGGGCGCCGGACCGGGCAGGACGGGCAGAGCAACGGACGTCCGCGCGAGAGACGAAGGGAGAAGCAGCGGAGGGACAGTGCAGAGATCGGGAGACTGGCAGCAGCGATGGAATCGAGCCGTGGAGAGGCCAGGGGTGGATGAGGCGACAGGGGATGGCTGAGGTGGAAGTGGTGAGGTGGACGAGAGTCGGCTGTTCGTCTCTCTAGGCTGCCCGAGCCCGCTGGCAGTTCGGAGAGCGCGAGACGGCGGAAGTGCAACGCCGTCGCCACCCTGCCGCCAGCTGTCACCAGCGCAAGATTGTATATCTCGACGCGAGAGAATGCGTCTAGAGGAGTCGTGGCAGTGATCCTCAGGTCTATTTCGTGCGAAAAAGTCGTCAGTCACCAGCATCATCTTACCATCGCGTTGCAATCTCATTCTTATCACCCATCTCTTTCCCCTACTCCAGCCAGACACTGATTACTCATTTCGATGCTGACTGATTATCTTCAGCACGCAGTGAGGATACTCGACCTTCTCCCCTGCTTCCGTTCTTCTCTTGCCGCTGTTCTCATTGGGACTGATGCAACATCCTACGATAGCAACACCACAACATAGCCGATTTCACAGCCAAGAACCTAATCAAATTCCTACCAGAAAACAGATACAATGGAATTGTCGTCGAATTAATTGAGTATGGAAGTGGTTAGTAATCATGTCTTTGGAATGATCAATTCAAGATCCTTATGGCTGTTAAACCGTACGGTATTAATTGATGCAGCATTGGTCATCATAACAGCATATTCTAAGATGAAGCATTGATCCGTAGAAAAAAAAATATAAGGATAGGAATGACTTCTAGACAGTAGGGTGCAGTATCTGGCGAACGTAGTGCTGTAAGTCTGGCACCAGTACTATAATGGTTTCTGTCGGTGTGTATTCTGCGAGATTACAAAGCCATACAATGCGATTGTTTACAATGCAACAGTGAAACCAAAAAACCACCGAACGAGAACAGTTACCAGCAGACTGAACTATGCCATTCGACTTGTTTTCTCGCGATTCACCCTCTGTTTGCCATTCCTGGAAGCTGGCCTGGGCTGGTCGCGGCCTCTGATTGGAGTGCTTCTCCTGCCGCTTTCGTCCAGGCGAGCGACCTCAGGCGATGAGACTTAAACCGCCTCTTCCCTCGCTGCTCGCGTTCTCTTCTCTTTTTCTCCTTACAATTCCTCCAGTCTTCAATTCCTCTCTTCTGTTGAATTGTTTCCCTCTCCCACCTACCTGAGGAGCGTGGAAGTTGCAGGTGCTCCTCCCCATCCTGCGAAAAAAAAAAGCAACCCCACGCGGCAGAGCGACCTCGGACGCCCCGTTCATCGGCCTGCAGCTTCAACGCATCCCCCACACGGCCCTCGGCAATCGCATCATTCTCGCCTGAGTAATCGGAAAGCGATAGCAAAAGCTGCGGAAAACAGCCCAGGGAACACACCGTGCTTCTCGATCGAGTAATCCGCTGGCACCCGCCGACAATTGCATTCTCCGGCTAGCGTCATCGATATAACCCCCGCCCCCGCCACCGCATTCCTTCTCCTCACCCCCTCACTCGTCGCTGCGCATTCCTCCAACTTTTTTTTTCTTTACTCCGTCCCGATCGTTTCGGGACCAGAGCGCTTCCGGGAGCTGTTGTCGTCGCGCGCCACTTTTGGACGACCTGCCTTCCAGTCGCAACCATGACGAGCGAGCAAAGCGATCATGTCCACCAGCCAAGCCGCACTCTGTCGCCCGCAAAGGGCAGCCTGGAAGACTACTCCTTTCCGGTGCACCGCCTGAAGCAGGTGATGGACGATCCTGACAAGACTCCACTGCTGCTCGTTGCCTGTGGCTCGTTTTCCCCCATTACCTATCTTCACCTTCGCCTGTATAACGCCCCTGCAAACGACGAAACGGCTGGAAACTAACAAGCGGGCAGATTTGAAGTGGCGGCGGATTATGTCAAGTTCAGCACCGACTACGAAATCGTCGGCGGTTACCTGTCCCCGGTGTCAGACGCATATCGCAAGGCCGGCTTGGCAAGTGCAGAACATCGGTACGACCTCCAATTGGGCTCATATTTCTGTCTTGCTTCTCCGGACACTAACAGGTTTTCGGACAGGATCGCGATGTGCGAACTTGCGGTTAATGAGACGTCGGACTGGCTGATGGTCGATCCCTGGGAGCCATTGCATAAAGACTACCAACCAACAGCGGTGGTGCTGGATCATTTCGACCACGAGATCAATGTGGTCCGTCAGGGAGTGGATGCGGGGAATGGGACACGGAAGCCCGTCCGGGTGGCCCTTCTGGCGGGCGCAGATTTGATTCACACCATGTCGACACCCGGAGTGTGGAGTGAGAAGGATCTGGACCATATTCTGGGGCGCTATGGGGTGCGTATAGACGCAGTCGACTGGATTGCTTCGGAGCTAATGTGATCACCAGGCTTTTATTGTCGAGCGCAGCGGAACCGATATCGACGAGGCCCTCGCAGCGTTGCAACCGTGGAAGGATAACATCCATGTGGTGCAGCAACTGATCCAGAACGACGTCAGTAGCACCAAGATCCGGCTATTCCTGCGACGCGAGATGAGTGTGCGGTACCTCGTTCCGGCACCTGTTATCCAGTACATCGAACAGCACCATCTATACGAGGACGATGGGGCCGGAAGCACGGCGTCGGTTGACAAAGACAAGGGCAAGGGCAAACAAGCTGGGACAAATACTGCTTGAGCTGCGTATCAACAGTTGCGACGCGCATTCCAAGTAGCAGCACGAGCTTAATGCGACACTGGTGTCGCGGCGAGATCTGTGCCACTTCGCCATTATCATTGGCACAGTTTATATATAATGATGCCAGCCAGTGCGTATCATGGCGCAGCGATTCGTGTCATAATGAATGGTCCTGCACTGGTTAATGAAATTGGCATCCTGTCTGAATAGGCATGGGCTGGTACCGCTGAAAGTGCAGCGGAAGATTCAGCTCGAGTGGGGGGACCTGGGGAACTCCACACGTTGACATTTCTTGTCACGATGATCACGATGGGCATTACGTTTTGCTTTCACTGCGGCGTGTCTGGTCTGGTCTGCTCTTAGCAAGTTGTTTGTGTACTCGTTTTTTTTTTCCCTTGGCTGTATGTTCATAGAGACCCGATTGTGCTGTTTCTTGTGTTTCTGGCGATGTATACCCTTGTATTGTTGGCGGATAATTGTCTGTCTGTCTGTTTGTTTTCTACTCGATGCTTTCCAGGTCTAATCCTACGACCGAACGACTCGGTTCGGATCCCGTTTGCTAGAAAGAAAGAAAGATAGAAGCAAGCCCACAGTCCTGGCTAGGCTGGGCCAGCAACAACAAAGAATTGACAAAGAATTGATAATAACCAGATCTGGCATTATTTCTGAAACAGGCATGAGAGATAGCAGTACTAGATACATACATATGTAATTACGTAGTGGAAGGTAGCATCTTCATAAATAAAATCTACCCGTCGATACATAGAACTGAAGGAATCGCGAATGGATTATCTATATATCTATCTATCATCTATCTATCTATCTTTGTCCTCCTACTGTGTATATAGATACTGTACTGTACAGTACATTCAAGTATTCAGTTGAATTGATGATGGAATTAATTGAATTGAATTGAATTGAATTGAATTGAGAGAGGATTTAATATGGATGGGTAATTTATTTTTATTCCTTCCCTCTGTCCTGTTCTGTCCTCTCCTCTCCTGTACTGTATGTATGTATGTATGTACAGTACGTACTGTACAAGTCAAGTCAAGGTCTCGAAAGCATCCTTATGCATGTATATTATATTCTATTATGTGCATAGCATGAGTATGAGCATGTGCATAGCATGAGACGAGTATATGGCAGAGTGTATGCTACCTAAAAACAAACAAATATGTCATGACAAGGGAATCTGATCCGATCCGGTCTATACAGGATATGTAACTGTAACTGTACTGTAAATGTAGATGTTATTCTTCCTGCCCGGTCGCATAGATAGATATTTATATGCAGGGCAACAACTCGTTGATTGTCGACAGATAGACAGATAGACAGACGAGAGTAATAAATAAAGCCCGCTGATCCTGCAACGGGCTCACTCACACACTCTCTTTCACTTCCTCGGACAGTCAAAAGTATGGCAAAGTACGTCAATGACGTTAGTCAAGAGGAGGACGAAGCGCAAAGATCCTCCCCACAAACAAAGCCCAGAAATTTCTCCTCCTGCTGCTTATCTGCTTCTTCAGCAGCACATGGATAATCGTCCATCACGCCAATGACCACCGGCGATGGACTAGCCTTCATCGCATCCGCCACCCATCGCCGGACGTCTTCGACAGGGCTGGACGCAGAAACGCGGAACCAGCGCTCGGCGCTGACGCTGATCGGACTCGGCAGGTCCAGGTCGGTGAGCTTCGCGTCGACCTTGCCTGCTTGCTCCTGCGCCAGGGCGCGTACCCGTGCGGGCGGGATGATCTCTGTCGGAGACAGCTTTACCCAGGATTGTGCTGCGGGGTGCTGGAGAGCTGTGAGGAGGATGTCTAGCACGCGCACTTGTTGGTGCGCAGCAGCGACGACAGTCGGGATTTTGTCTGCCGACACGGCGAGGTCGGAGATCACCTGGACTTGATTTTTCTCTCGAGATTCCGCGGATGGTTGCAAAGACCGCGATTCTCGCGATTCTTTCTCCTCGTCGTATTTCGGCTGCACGTCGTCTAGCGGCGTCAGGCTGAACCATGTCATTGACGAGGTTGATGTCGATGTCGATGTCGACGTCGACGACTTAGGTGTCGAGACGGCTGATGCCGCTCCAATAGCTCCCCCCGGATGGAAGCCTTTGAATACCTCTGCAGGGCCCCGTCCCGGCGTGGTGTGCAGACTGCGCGCCGTGGCAAGCGCCAAAGCGTCGCCCAGCGCCAGCGCCACGGTGGTTGATGTCGTCGGAGCTGACACCCCGAACGAGGTCTCCTCGTCCACGTGTACTGGCGCGGGCAGAAGAATCGTCATGTCTGAGCGGTGATAAGAGAGTATAGGACAGGTAGATGGATGCATGTGCGCCGTGATGGCAATAACAGGCACTGTTTGCGGGATATGCGGGAGCAGCAGCAGCAATTCTGGCGTCCGTCCAGAGAAGGATATCAAAAGGAGGGTATCAATCTGTGAAGCTGTTATTATCTACCTATAACAAATCGCTTGCCAACGTACCGGCCTGATCATGCCCAGATCTCCGTGCAGGGCCTCTGTCGGATGGAGGAAGACACTGTAGATCCCCATGCTGTTCATCGTCGCCTCGAGCTTGCGCCCGATCTTCCCACTCTTCCCAACACCGCAGACCACGAGCTTGCCGCCGCATTTTATGCTCTTGACGATCTGGGAAACCGCGCGACTGATGTTCTCCTGCGCGAGTGCATTGGTCTGGTACAGCGACTCCAGATTCGCCAGCGCCTCGCGTTCCGTGGAGATAACGTGCAGGGCCGTCGCCAGCGACTTGTCAGGCGCATCGTTCATCTGCTCTTGCCCTTGTCCGTTCATGGTATCATCTGCCGAGTGCTGTTCGAGCGAGGGAATATTTTCAAGCATCATTGCGAGTGATCAAAAATTGTGTAGTCGTGGGATAAGGACGATGAAGATTCTGATAGGAAATGTACCGTACAGTCCAGCGACAACCAGTCTTGACGAGTAGCGATAGAACGATAATCGAATCGACGACGCGCGGAGAGAATCGGCCTTGGCCGAAGAAATCTATATATTCATCATGTCTGCTGATAAGAACCGCAAACAGGCACCAAGCAGTAAAATAAAACACTGACGCCACCCAAAGGAACCAAACGAGATGTGACTTCCAGCAGAAGAGAGCGAGTGAGAGAAACGAGAGACATCAGAGCTGGCCTTCTGGACCGCCCAGAGATAAATAGCTACTAGGCACAAAGGCAGCGAAGGAGAAATTCGGAGCGGAACTGCAGCCCCGCGATGTTACCCCTCGGCGGGACGGCTGGCAACGAACTAGTCGCGCGCCCCGACAGCTAACTCGCTGCTGCTGACAGAAGCGTGCCTGGGCATTGCATCATCGATAGCGACAGGCATCCTAGGCAGGAATTCGCTTCTTGGCTTGTGTTGGGACTTGGTGGCTGTAGCAGATAAATTAATAATCCGAAAAAATTATCTAAAATCGGTGGCTGCAGATCGCCCGATCCAATCAATCAATGCGGGGCTTTTGTCGCTGATCGAGATCTCTAGAAATTTATCTGATCTCGTTGACAATTCTTTTCTATTAGACTATCCCTGATGTGGGTTCAGGAGTGCTCTTTCGATCCACGATGGCTTATCTTGAGGTTCTGGGCAGTGCATTTTTCTCGCCAAACACGGTGTAGATATGGACAGATTATACTTAAAGTAACTTTTGAAGTCCTTCAGTATGTGCTGTGGGTTCGATGTGATTTGGAAGGTATTGAATGTGGTATACTGGTCAGTGCATCAGGTTGGGTCTTAGCATTGAGACAACCAGGTACTTGGAATGAAAAATATGACCTGTCAAGGCCTATCACGCGGACAGAGATCACGCTGATAGCATTACATCCGTTCCCATTGTAATCTCCGTGTCTATAACGAGTACTGTACATGAGATAACCTTCTTTCCACACTACGCCAGACCCTCTATCAACGACATTATCTGAAGCTTTCCCATGCCGGCTGAAACAGAGACGTGCGTCGTGGTTAGTTAGTTTGGACTTGGAAGACTTCTGACTCTGAACACAGCCTGACAGGCCCGCCATTCAAAGGCGACCCAGACACAAGGTGGCGATCAAATTCATGCCTTTGTAAGCGGCTTCACCCCCTTATGGATGGCAGCGATGCCGCAAGACAAGTTCTCGTAGCCCTTGCCCGGAATGATAAACCCTGCCTCCTGGATCATGGCACGGAATTCTTCCTGACTCGGAAACCGCTCGATACTCTCCACCAGGTACTGGTAGCTGGCCCGATCGGCAGCGACAATCTGGCCGATCAGCGGGATGGCGCCGAAACTCCATCGCTTGTACACCTCGTTGAACAGCGGGTTGTTCACCTTGCTGAATTCCAGGCACGCAAAGACCCCGCCCGGTTTCAACACCCGGAACGCCTCCACCAGGGCCGCCTGCTTGTTGGTGAAGTTGCGGATCCCAAAGGCCACCGTGTACAGGTCGACCGAGTTATCCGGGATCGACGGCATGTGCTCCGCATTGGCCTGCATGAACGACAGACGGCCGGTGTTGTAGTACGGCGTGTCGAGGCTCCGCTTCTTCCCCTCCGCCAGCATGTCCGGATTGATATCGGCGATCGTCACGCGGGTCTCGCGGTCGTTGTTGATGTTGGTGGCATGGTCCAGCATGCGAAAGGCGATGTCGCCCGTTCCGCCCGCGATGTCAAGGATGTTCCAGCCTTTCCCCGACTTGTCGCCATCCCGGGCGGGCAGCGGCGAGCCGGGATTGAGCGAGCGGACGAAATGGTCTTTCCAGAGACGGTGGATGCCCAGGGACATGAGGTCGTTCATCGTGTCATACGACCTTGCGACGGAACTAAACACGGCGCCCACTGGCAGGGGGGCATTGTCAGTGTGACATTCGTCCAGAATGTGACAAGAGGGCTCCGAGACCAACCTTTGGACTCTTTCTGTGACTCGGGGATGGTCTCGAATCCGAAATGCGTCATTCGCGTATTCTCCTCCGGCTTGCCGGTCTCTGCCTGGCGTGCCCGCAGCGAGCAGGAGAAGCATCGGTACGGGGTTGGGGGCACCGCCGTCCGGCGCTTCGCACTGTAGTGCAAGCTTCTCCAGACAGATTTTGAGGCCATGGCGAGATATCCGGAGCAGGAAAGGCGAATGGGTGGTGGTGAGGTGGGAGCGGTAGATGTCTCCGCGCGAGCTGGAGCTGGAGCTGCCGCGGGTTTCTCGGCGGTCAGCCTAGGCGGTAGCCAGCAGCTGCTTGCACTCCAGAGAATTGCATTAATCTCACCACTCATTGCACAGAGACTGTCTTGTATTTATTTATAGTCCTTACTCTGCTACTGCTATTATTATTTTTTGTGCAGCTGTTTTTCTCTCTCCTTACTTTCACAAGACGTATATGGACGCAAGAACCTTCCTGATGCAGTTAAAAGGAGCACAGATCCCATGGCTTTTAACAGTTAAAACTGCAAATCGACTATACCCGATTTTCTATCACTTTTCATCTGGCACACTGCCTATCCGAGTCTCATTCAGTTTGGTGCATTCTGTTAAATACATTCTCAGGGCGTAAAGGGCCCCAAGTCCTTGCGCAGCGCTTAGTCATGTCATTCAGCCAATCAGCATGAGCCCTACAGGCTGTATGGGCTGCGTTCAACGGACGCAACCCTTCGGAGATCCTGAAGGACAACCTGAATGTAGACCTCAGATCCCGGAGAAGATATTCCAGAGACGATGTTGAAAGGGTACAGCCACCGATAATAATGGATAGCCTACGAGTATGATCAGAGAGACTTACGACACCAGCACACGTTCAGGATTCTCCGTTTCGTGGGCTGACTCGATCACGGCTCTGTTTCGATGCTGCAGAGCAGTCAGAGCGTTGAATGGAAGATCCTTCTACAGGCTCACTATCCACAGTCATCTCTCTGATCAGAACCGGCTCCGAGACGAGTAAACAACTCGACCTCCATGCGTCTGGCCGCATCGGGGCCTTGAAGGATTTCTCCGACGTCGTCCTGTCCCAAGTCATAATCCCATTCCTCAATCGGGTCCGTGGCGCCTTTCATATTGCGCAGGACGGCCATGCGAAAGTGCCAACGAAGCGCATCGGTACTGACCCGGTCGTTAGCGACCCGTGCACGCCTTGCCGTCTCGCTGAGGACCCTTCCACCGTAACCGGCGGGATCTTCGCCAAAGACAACGACTTTGTAGCCGTCCTATCACCGGATCCGTTAGCAGCCTTCGATTACTACCTCCAGGCGACCGAGAGGGAAATGGAAGACAAGGATATGTATCAAGGAGAAGACGGAAGGATAGGTAAAATCCTACATCTTGACACTGATTTTGAACGTGTCAAACAGCTCATGTACTTCGGCATTCAACAGGAGTCCCATTCTGAATCGACCAAAGTCCGGTGGTGCCGATCAGGTCATCCGGACTGGTGTCGGTTATCCACTTCCTGTAATTGTTCTCTCGCCAGACTAATTCCAGTGATATCGGGAAAATGTGCGATACATGGAGGCCGGTAAAGCCATCTCGCGAGGTGCGGAAACTCCGACCAGTGATTGCACAAGTTCCGTCCCTCCTTCGGAGGCCGTCTCGAAAATGTCGTTGCTGTATGTACGTGGATATCAGTCTCTGGGGTAAATTCCTCGGGTCAATCATCGTATTACCTGTGGAGAAAGCCGAGAAGTCCTGCCAGAGCGCGACACGGTCCGTCGCGGAACTTCCTCGTCGGTCACCCTCATATTGACCGGTTGGCATCCTGTATCCCGGATTTTAGCAGGTCTCCTAACAGCGCTCGGGACAGAAGCTAGTTGCATACGATGATCCAGGACCACGTACGATCCTGGCTGAAGCATACTGCCGTCGCGGCGAAGTTTCATTCCAGTTGACCCGTCACCGTGTAGGAAAAAAGATAGCCCAGTCGACAGCTGCAGGGGTTAAAACCAAAACTCAGCACACATCCGATAGAAAGTGCGTTTAGTGATGTATGGCTCAGTGGTTCGTACAATAAACCCTGTATTTTCAGACAATTAGAACCGAACCACAAGAGAGCCCTGTCTTCTTGATGATCTGTATACTTACCTCCGAGGAGGCTTCCATCGTCGTGATAGATATGAACGTTGCGGAGCGATCCAGGATCTGGCTGCTGGAGTGTCCGGGCCATCGTCTCGAGGAAGGGTATCCTGGGAGGAAAAGGCGACGCTGGGGCGTAGAGTGTCGCGTCAACAGTGTGAAGGTGAGCCCAGAACAGGAAGTGGAAGATGGCGTATGGGAAGTAGAGAAAACACCCAGGACGCCGGCAGAGGCCGTTTGTATATCTCTTGCTCCTGGTGTTGCTAGCAGATACGATTCACTAGCAGCTGGCTGCTCCTGCAGCAGCAGGTTCACCGTTGGAAGACCCTGCCCTGGTGGCAGTTGGTTTACTGCATTTGCATCGGTCTACTGCATTGGTCCTTGACTAGGCAGCTTTGTTTTGTGGTAAAGTGAACCACTGAAGCAATTCACCTATGTGAAGGCCTTTTCTTTATGACTCCAGCCAAGGAATAGTATTTATACATTGCAAGGTAACAAGCATCCTGGCAAAAGACAAGCCACCTTTGAGGGTGTCACTGCTTGCAAAGGATGACAGCGACAGTACTTGGAATGGTATTCCTTTTCCCTGCCAGATGTTATCTCTCCTGGAGGGCTGGTATAGGAATCCAAAGGTGCAAAAGGAACCAGAGGTATCAATCTGGAACTCTGTACTCGGTACAAGAATGCAGGTATTTGGAACCGCGTGACGTCGATATGGGTTCCCCTGCAAGTCACGTGTTGATAATGTCACATGATTTTTCTATCTAGGAGCCAATCAGATGATAGAAAGTCATTATCACGTGATGAGTTTCTACCAATCGGATGAGAGGACTTTGAACCAATCACATCAATGTTCCAGATGAGGAGTGCCAAGAAACGGCTTCGGGCCGATCAGGAGGGACTTGCCGCTAGTCCCGTTTGGGCATCTGCACGGCTATGGTTACTGCTGAAAGCTGCAAGTCCGGGGTCAAGCTGGTTCACTCGGGGCTTCTGGACCTGCTCTCTTCTCGCGTACGCGATTCAGACCATAATAGAGGACTTGTCCTCGCGGATGACCTTCTCTGGGGGCTTTGTCACGGAGAATAATCAGAGCATCCTGATCGGATTTCTGTCTAGGGCTTCTTTAGTACCTAGATACCTCGATACCCCAAGTATCAGATTCAGCGCCCCGGGGAACCATCTCCAGCCCCACAACTAGCAGCACAACTAGGCGGAGAGAGGAGAGCGAGCTCCGGCCTGATACATAACGTACTCTGTACAACCAGCCAGATTCCGAACGGAGACCGCCCTAAACAAGTACACAGGACATCCTATGTGAATGTCGCAGCGACCGAAGAAGCTCCAGCGAGTTTCCAAAGCTTGTATGCCCACCGTGAATGGATGCGAGAATGTGCGCGGCTGACTGGAACGAGGCGATTTCTGCAATCGACGCAGCATCAAATGTAGCAAGTCGGACGACCCGCTGGGCCGCTGCCAGAACTGCGCCGACTTCGATGTGCCCTGCACCTTCGACCGGCCCATCAAGCGGAGAGGCGTGAAGAGCGCACGCGTGCGCCTCAATGAGGCTGCAGACCAGCGGTCGGGCAGTAGTGGACGCTCGCAGTCGGAGGCCAGCCAGCGCTATGTGCGAAGCGGCGATCCTTGGGGCGCCCTCAGCACGCTGTGGTCGGCTCTCGACAATCCTTCACGCGACGAGAATGCCCTGCGCCGGTCGTGGAGTGCGTTCGCCATCGCCACGGAACGGACGATCCGCAATCTTGTCGACGTCTATTTTGAAATCGTCTACCCGATGTATGTCCAGTCGAGGATCGTTTGATCAAGACGCACACTGATCGTGTTCCAGCTTCCCGTTGTTCCATCGCCCGTCCTTCCTGGAGAAGCTCAATCGCAACGAGCATCTCCGCGATCGCGGCGTCTTTGCGTCGACGATGGCCGCCTGCGCTCTTGCGTCCGGCAGGGCTCGTGATGGGGCCCTGTACTCGACGCGCTGGCATCTCCCCGACCTCCTGGAGCCTCCGTCCGAGGTGTTCTATGCGGCCGCCAAAGACTCGATCCCCAAGGATCTGAGCACGGCCAAGGGCTTGAATTTCATGCGCGCCTGCGCCATTCTGGCCATCGCGAGCATCCAGAACGGTCAGATCAAGGCCATGCAGCAGTACTCGGGCTACTATCACACCCTGACCGCCATGGAAGGGCTGTACGATGAGAAGCTGTGGCCGAAGCATCTGAGCCCGATAGAGATTGAAGAACGCCGACGACTGGTAGGCAGCGCTCTGTTCCTACGATTCAAGGGTGTACTTCTAATAGTTTCCAGTTCTGGTCGATCTACACCCTTGATATCTACTCGTCTATTGTCTGGGGTGGCATCATTCGCCATCGGGAGGCCCAGTCCATGGTCCGCTATCCAACCGAGATCGACGACGAATACATCACCGAGACGGGGTATACCGCTCCCCCTGCACCAGCATTACAGCCCAGTCCCAGTGGAATCCCAGTCGTATCTCAGGAGTCAGTGAGCTGGCTCCGAGGGTGGAATTTCACGACTGATCTGTATCGCATCCTTGAGCATGCCGTCGACGGCTTGCGATGTCGCTGGTCACAGCAGAATGGCATGACGCGGTTTCATTCCCTGTTTGGTCGGAGTCCGATGACCGAATCGGTGGTCATGGAGCGTGTCCTTGCCATGTATTCTGCACTCCCTTCGCAATTCCGAGAAACGCTACCGGTGACAGGAGATCCATCCAAGGATCTTTTTGGTTTCCAATCCGCCAACATCCAGGCCACGCTGCAGTTACTACGCATGATACTCTTCTCGACGGAAGACATTGGAGTGGAGAGAAAATGCGATGTGGCGGGTGAGCTGCTGAGTGTGTTCTCGAAAGTACCTGTGGAGTACCTGAAGGCGATCAGCTCTCCATTGGTGAGTCCTTCGTCGCACAAACCTGTGCTGGGAGGATTGCTAACTAACTCTGTCAGCTCCACCACTTGGCAGGAATAGGCTATATTCTAGGGTCTGTTATCGAAGGCAGTCTTTCTGAAGCATCATACCAACGGGTCCGAATGCTCTTGTATGTGTTGTTGCCAGTATTTTATTCATCTGACGGTCTTCGTTACTAACATGTTCCTGTTTGATCATTCAGACTGGAGATGGCCGACCTGCTCCGCCGTCTGGAATCTGGACTCCACCGCGCCGCCGGTGCAAGTGAACGACTCCGAACGCAGGTGGATCGAATCGACGAGTATATGCGGCAGCAACGGATGATGATGGCCGCTGCTCAGCAGCCCAATGTACTCGAGCAGCAGCCGCAACAGCAGCAGCAGCAGCCACCGGAAGTTGGGACCGTCCCATCACTCTCTTACAATCAAACAGCGGCTTTTGGGGAGCAGCTTTCACAGTTCCAATTGCCGCCAGAGCTGCTGGAAGACTGGCCATGGCCATTTGACTCGGGGCCGGCCGAGGGATTGTTGCCATTGAATTTTGACTGAGCAAGGTCTTCCATCCAAACATGTACCCCAATTAATCTTAACAAAATAGGTAGGAAGTGTGTGTCTGAGGGAAAGAATACAACCTGTACAGTACATGTATGTACAGTAGGGAGGACTGGGGCCTCCCATGTTAAACATGTTTGGTAATCCTAGGCATTTTCTGTCTCGGTTAGTGCAACAACGCAAGATGTCTACAGCTTTTTATACATATATCGTCTATCCTCGTAGATGTGATAATAAATACAGGCTTATGCGTATTTTCACAGTACGGAGTAGAGAGAAGTAAGTCATCTCTATCATTAGACCGTTTCAAGATGAGACCCAGCCCTCTCCTTAAACCCCTTGCAGGTGTCATCGCCGTCGTCGGCGTCAGCGTCAGACTGCTTGGAAACTCCCCGCTCGGCGAGCACGTCGCCGTGCAGCTGGTAGGCCCTCTCCATCTTCCAGGAGAAAGGGCTCCTGGTGGAGAAGAGCGCCTCGATGGACTCGAGCGATCGCCCGCAGGTTTCTGGGTAGAAGAGGAAGATGATGGGGATCCAGAGAAGGTTGAGTCCGAAGAAGAGAAAGTATGTGCGGTTCTATTCAGAAGAAACGAGTTAGTTTGCATGCAGACGGAAGGTCTGAGGACGTGTGTGTGTTTTGCTTACCTCCATCGTGCTGAACATGATCGGGTTCACCAGCGTGGTCATGCCAACGCCGATCGCCCACCCCGTGATCCCGAATCCGTTCCCCTGAGCGCGCAGGTCCGAGGGGAAGATCTCCGTCGGCACCAGGAAGGCGACCGTTCCCCAGGTGGCGGCGTACGCGAGGTTGAACAGGAAGAGCATGGTGACAGCAGCCTTGAGACGGAACATGTCAGTCAGCAGTGCCGACAGATCCCTAGCGCTACAGAAAAAAAGGACATACCGGTGCAAAGCTTTTGGCCCTGTCGGGGTGCTGTCTTGCTCCTTCGTACAGCGCTCCGGCCTGCGTCACGTGTCAGCTGTGTCACCTGAGGCAGGATGCAGACGTCTTACGATCAGGTTGACTGCTGCCAATGCTGCAGCGCCTCCCATCAAGCAGATGCGTCGTCCCAGACGGTCCACGATCTGGGCGCTGATGATCGTCCCAACGATTCCGATCGTGTTGAGTCCGCCCGCCAGACCGTTCTGCGTCAGTTCACTGTACCCGGCGCTGCGAAGAAGGACGGGAGAATACGCGGTGACGGCGGTGATGCCGGTCCAGGACGCCATGATCTGGAGGAACAGGCACAGCCATGCGCGACGGCCCAGGTGCGCTCCGGGCCTCCCGCTCCGTCCAACCAGGATCTTGACGAATTGAACGGGGGAACTGGGCTTGCTGTCCATGGCAATCGTAACGATCTCCAGATACTCCCTGTCGATCTGTTCCGGGGTCCACTTGTGGCCCCGGACGCGCTGCAGCAGATCCCGCGCTTCGTCATTGCGTCCGACAGACGCCAGGTACCGCGGGCTGTCGGGAAGCATCTTGATGAAGAAGGCCAGCAGCAGGGCTGGAATGCACTAAAACGCAAGCAGGAATCTCCATCTGATGTCGGAATAGCCATCGTTGATGAAGGCCAGGCCGAATGAGAGCCAGTAGGCAACCGAAATACCCAGATCTGTGAAAACCCCGTGTTAGGTCAATTCTCAGAAGCCGAGCAACTGACCGGCACTTACAGTTGGCAATAAAGACGTATCCCAGAAATCCTCCTCGATGGTCTGCAGACGACGTCTCGGATACCAGGACCGGCGTGATACCCGTCAGGGCTGTTCAATTCCGTTAGATAGCGCTCACAGTTCGTATCAGACATGATGATATACAACCTCCCGTGCCAATCCCTGTCACCACGCGAGCGACCAGGATAAAGTCGGAGCTCTGAGTGGCAGCCTGCAGCGCGCCGCCGACCAGGGCAAACAGAGATCCAATCAGGAGACCGTTGATACGGCCAATGCGGTCCGCCAGCCATCCGCCTGCAAAACAGCCAAAGATGGCTCCCAGATAGTAGACGCTGACGATGCCGCCCTGATGCGTCTGGTTGGTCACGGTGCCATCTGGTAGGCCAATGCCCACCTCCGTGACGTATCGAGGGGAGGCATTCACGCCTCCCATGACACCCTGGTCATATCCTTCGAAGAAAATGGAGATCAGCGAGAACGTCTGAATGGCGACGTTGAGCTGACGAGGCGACAGTCTCCTCCAGAGGGTGAAGTAGCCCATTTCG